TTTTTTTGAGTCAAGGCTCACTCTATCACCCATGCTGGAGTGCAGTGGCATGATCATGGTTTGCCACAGCCTTGACCTCCTAGGCTCAAGCAACCCTCCTCTCTTGGTTTCCTGAGTAGCTGGAACTACAGGTACATGCCACAGTGCCCTGGCTAATTTTTTGATTTTTTTTTTTGTAGTGATGAGGTCTTGAGGTCTTGTTATGCTGCCCAGGCTGGTCTCAAACTCCTGAGCTCAAGTGATCCTCCTGCCTCAGCCTCCTAAAGTGCTGGGATTATAGCTGTGAACCACCGTCCTGGCTGTCTTGTTTTACCACATGTTTACAGCTTCAAGCTATACCCAGAATTCACTGAGAAAGGTCAAGTCCAGAGACCCATCTGCCATTTTTCACATCACATTTTATGTGCTTAGAATGTGACACAGTGCTCAAGATTGCATGCCAAGTCTTACCAAACCATATGCAGGTTTAACAACCATAAAAATCCAGGCTGTTTAAAACCCTGGATTTCAAATCTACACTTTTGTTTTCTCTTTCCCTTAGGACAAATGACAAATTCACTTCCTGGCTCACAGGAGTTCCCTTAACTGGTACCTCTTTCTTCCCCACACTCCCCAACCAACTCAAGCGTCATCCATGGCACTGCTTTTAATTCCTGTAATCATATGGGCTGGCTCGCCCTAGGCCTTTGCTTATGCTTATCCTTTGCTCAGAAGACTTCATCCCTGTGCCCTGAAGTCTCTCTCCTGTCCAATTCCATCCAGCTTATTCCTCCCCATAGATCAAACTCTAATTTCAGTAGCCTTCTTCTAGATGGACTCACCTTATCCTGACACCTAAGATATTCAGTCATGAACTGTCTGCTCCCTGAGAGGCTTATACTTTTCTTGTGATCAATCATACTTGTCCTCCTTTTTAAAAATATGTTTATCACACTTGCCATTTTCTATAATCGATGTCAATCTCTGTGGGGTAAGAACATGGGTGTATCTTCAGCACCTTCCTCAGTGTCTGATATTCATCAGACACTCATATCAGACACTCAATTAATGATTTCAGGTTGGGCACAGTGGCTCATGTCTGTCATTCCAGCACTTTGGAAGGTTGAGGCTGGAGGATTACTTGAGCCCAGAGTTTCAGGTCCAGCCTAGGCAACGTAGCAAGACCTCATCTTCACAAAATAATAATAATAATAATAATAAAGCCAGACAGTGGCGT